CTCTTATAGAATTCCCAAAACATCTAAATGACGCATCTCGTGCAACACTGAGTAGTGTGTAAATCTTTTCCGCCCCCCCCCCCCCCCCCGGGGGGGGAAATTGCTTTGATCCAAGGGATACGCCCGAGCCGCTCTATCTCGAGAGATTGTTTTAGCTGGCCTCTGACTAAATCTGGTTCGTACACAGTTAAATCAGGCTACCATATCGCGAGAAGCCTTTCTCGTCCTTCTTGTGAACCCCCTTTTCAGGATCTGAGTACTACAATAATTAAGGCATAAGTATGGAAGTTAAAAACAACACGAAAGCTTAAGTATTTCGTGTGGAAATGCCTATCTGGTTATGTCGCAACATGCCAAAGACTCCTCTCTCGACATATCGGGAGATGAAATGATTCACCATATGCTCTTTGAGTGTCCTCCGGCTCGCAAACTCTGGGCTCCATCTGCTATCCCAACAGCTCCAAATACCTTCCCATCCCCTTCTTTCTTTGATTGCTTGGACTTTCTGTTCTGGCGAGCAAAGGCTTATGGCTCGTCTGATGAGGCTCTCCGACCTTTTCCATGGATGTTATGGTTCATCTGGAAGGCCAGAAACAGGAAGTTTTTGAAAACATAAGTGAGGATCCATAAGAGACCCTCAATCACGCGATTCAAGAGGAGGAGACATGGAGATTGGCGAATGCTGGTGATAATGTTAATCCCTCGGGTGGTGACCCTCCGCCGCAAATTTTTACTCTAAGTCTGAATATCCTGGTTTGCTACACAGATGGGTCTTGGAAAGGATGTGACACCTTTAGTGGACATGGCTGGTGTTTAGAGCAAGGAGGTTTGTTGCTACAAATGGGTTTGAATGTTTGCCCCCTGCATTCTGAGCTCGAAGTTCTTTATTGGGCAATGGAGTGTCTGCTGGATTTGTCGCTGCCTGCCATCTCCTTCGTCACGGACTGCTCGGACTTGCTGCAGATGATCGAGAATCCTTCGGACTGGCCTGCTTTTGCCTCAGAGTTAGAATACTTCAGTGCTCTCAAGAAGCACTTCTCGTCCTTTATCATTCGGCACATACCTCGGACTGAAAACATCCGTGCTGACTTTCTCGCCAAGAAGGCTTGATCACGAGGTCTCTGCTTCTCTTTCGTCAACTCAACGGCTCCAGACTGGCTCTCTCTAGCAGAAAGTCAATTCCAATTAAATCGTTGAATGCGGTTATTCTTTGGATGCCAAAAAAAAAGAGAGACAAAATTGAATACATAAATGAGTTACATAGACAACCTTGCTTTTTGGTTGATTATTTAAAAAAAACTGCATGATATTTTTTTTAAATGATAGACCAGGAGAACAAAATGTAATGAATAAGACAGCAACGCAAAATTGTGGGGCGACATTATGAACTTTGGGAAAACCTAAAAAAAAAGAGAGGAGTGATTAGAGTTTTGACTATAAATAGATTACCATACCTATAGATTTGTATCAAAACCTGAAGTTTATTGAAAAGAAAAAAAAAGTTCTAGCAAAAGTAAAACAAAAAAAAATATAAAGAAATGGCAAAGAACCTCAACTCCATCAGCTTCACCGTTCTCTTATTTGTCCTCGTGATGTCTTCAACCAGTATTTGCATTTAACGACACTAATCTGTATTATAATTTGCAATTATCATTTAATTATCTTGTGCTGATGATATTGATGAATAATTGAATATGTCAACACCTAGGAATTATTCAAAAGAGTGAGGCTGAACAATGTGGTCCTACTGCATGCAGCGGCGGAGCCACATGTATTAAGTTGGAGTCATTAGCCACCAATGAATTTAATTAATTAGTGTAATTTAGTAAAATCCAATATTAGTGTTCTCATTCATAAAATCATATATACTCTCATTCATTTCTTTATGCACCCAGAGAAAAAATTTCTAGTTTTGCTACTGCCTGTATATATATAGCCCTATCGCTGTGTTCCACGGACCACGGTGAGTGTGGCCGGCACCATACACAGACGATAATGCTGCTTGCTGTGTTTGTTGCCAAAAGAAATACGGGTCGGCAAAAATCTGTAAAGTAGTTGATGCGGGAACCGACAAACACTGCCATTGCTACGCAGACTAATGAGATTTGAAATAACCTCATACGACTATCAGGTGTAACTTTTAATTTCATTCGGTGTGAGAAAAGTACGTACATGTTCATGTCCAAGTTTCTTTTGCTTCCAAATATCCAAATAAAAACATCAAAGGTAAAGAGCTTGCCTCCCAAGTGTAAGCTCATGTTGTGTGCACTTTTTGGTAATAAGATTGCAGACTATTTTATTTAATATTATTTTGGAATATAATATTATCAAGAATAATATTAAATAGAATGGTCATGAATTAAACCCCTTGCGATCTTATTATCAAAAATTGATATTGAGATTTTGATGTTGATGATTGGTTTGGTATTCCAGTTTCGATGAAAGATACAATAATGTTAGAAATAACAAAAACATTTGTACTGCCTGTTATAAACTATAACTTCTTTTAGTTTTTTTTTTTTTTGTAATTTCCAACT